CGCGCGCAAAAAACACGAAGCTCTCGCAATGGGGCCGCTTAGGATAACCCTGCGCGCATCGTAATACGCCCGCCAACCCGGGCCACAATTCCCCGGAACATCTTGGCTACTACACGCGTTGGGAAACGACGCCAGGACGGCGGTAATGGAGAGCGGATGCGCCCGAATGCCGCCACTTAGCCTATCCCGCGCTAATGAACCTAATGAATCAGATGCGAGTATCTCCGCGGGCACCAACACTATACGCCACTGGTAATTAGGCCCTTTCTAACGTAGGAAATAAAATATATAACGCGGGAATTGTGGTATAATAAGCCCTAAGTCGCAGCTGGAAAGCTTCGGTGCCCTGGGTAGTGAAGTGGCAGTATGAGGTGCCTGATTAACCGAGTGTCACTGCTCATATACTACTATCGTGACAACTTAAGAAAAACGAAAGTGGGTGGCTCATTACGGGTCGCTACGGGATCGGTTTCTAGTTGCTCTTTTCTGCTGATATACTGAGCTCCGCTAAGCTATATATGCTGCGATAATGTGACCTGAACGTGTGCCTGCCGAGGGGTTAGGTTATCGTCTGCGTTAACGGAATCATTGCTTCGTTTGACTTGTTTGACGCACTATACGGGTTAATATACTTTATCGCTCTTTCTTAACTTTCCAAAACAAGGAGAGGGCAAGATGGGTTCAGGCTGTAGTCCATAACAGCTAAGAAATGATGGGCGTGGCTAGCCCCGTGCATCTCGATATAGTAGCAGCCAATGAGATCGTGGCATTCGCCGATAAGAAAACCCGAACGACGAATCGCAAGAAGCGGGAGCATTATATAAGCCGCACCTCGCGCTTGTTAAGATGCCAGTGAGGATAAACGTTTTAAACTTGACAACCGTGCCGCAATAAATGTTTACTAACATGGCTGCTAATCTCTTCGCGAATGCAGTGACGCTCAAGTGATCAGGATAACCGAATGTTGCGGTTTAGAACCAGCTTGACAAGCGTGAGGCTTAACGTTTTATCAACAAGTATAAATGGTAAATATTGAAGCTCAAAGCGAAAAAGGACATAACGTTAACCCCTCAATTCGAGCTGTTCTTCCACCAGTAGTAATAATAGTAGTTGTGGTAGTGGTAGCGGTAGTAGGGTACTCAAGAAAGAGGAGCGTGGTATTCGGGTCAGTAGGTCACCTTCAGATCCAGAATTTCTCTTCATTAATATGTAGAGTTAATGAAGTGTCCCTCCTAAATATCGACTCTCAAGTGTTATTATTTATTTATTTATTTATTTGGCGATACTGCCAGCATTCTGTCGAACGCCCAGGCAGGAGGTGTACAAAAACAATATTCAAAAACAAGCGGAAGCAGTGCAAACAAACGGAGTCAAAATAAGCCGGCCTTCCCCCCAATGCCAGCGACTGAGGCGCAGTCCGCTGACACTATAAAGTCTGGCACGGAGAGTTGGCAGTGAGGACGCGTATCTCACGACCTTGGCCTCCACCTTGGACCATGGAACGACGGCGCATATGCCTGCCTCTCTTGGCTCTTCCGACCCAAATGCAGCCCAGAGAGAAGATTTCACCGCGTGAGTCACGGACTCCGGTGTCATCGTCAAACGCGGCATCCGAATTGGACACGCGCCATCAGCGACAATAATTAACCAAGTAAAAAAAAGAAAAAAAAAATATATATATATATATATATATATATATATATATATATATATATATATATATATATATATATATATATATATATATATATATATATACCAGCTTCTTCTTTCTGCCCACCCTCAACAGTACAAATTAACTTAACCTAAAAAAAAAAAAATTGTATGGCACATTGCTAGGCAATTGTGTTAAATACGTGAAGCGTTCTAGCATTACGTTACAACGGGTCACGTGACGTCAATTTCCTCGCTAAATTTATCGGGGAAACTGAATTTGTGTAAAGGCCATGTGACACGAAGTCATGTGACATCATTTTCCCCGCTAAATTGAGCGGGGAAGCTGAACTGGCGTTGATGTCACGTGACATCAATATTCCCTGTACATTTCGCGGGGAAACTGCACATTGCAGTGATAGGCTCTCCCCAAGTGCCTTGTGGAAAGGTGGACGCTCCAGATGTCTTCAAGTGGTTGGTGTCGGTAGCACCACGAAATGCATCCCCAGACAATTACACTCTCTCAGAATGCCCTGTTTTGTATTCTACAGCGCGACGGACTTAAACAACCAACCATTAGCTTTTCATCATACGAAAATAAAAAAAAACGCAAAAGAAAAAGAAAAACAATCTCCGTACACAAGAAATACAATTACAACAGACGTGTGCTGGTCGTTTGTAACATGTACTTGTCTTTCGAGCGCCCTTGGTTTTGTTTAGTTTCTTAAGCACTCAGTTTTTTTTTTTTTTTTTTTTTATTATGAACCATTACCAACTGGCCCAGTTCTCAACACTTCTGAATAAGCCTTTCTTTGATCAGTCGAGGGAATGAAAAGGGCGATTGGGCATTATTCTCCAATCGGTTGGCAGCTCCGGCTGCAGTGTTGCCGTTTTAGCGATTTTGTCGCTAGATTTAGCGATTTTCTACACACTTAGCGACGGATTTTTTTAATTTAGCGCCTAGCGACTTTTTTAGCGACTTTGGTGCTCAACCGTAATCTTGTTATTTTTAACAATTTTAGGGATGCTCACGGGCTAAACCCTTTTGCTTCTCTAGCCGAGTTTGCTTGGGATATATGCTCAATTTAGCGGCGCGCTTAAAAACAAATGTCAACATTGTCAACACTGTAGACCTGTACACCATCTCTCCCGCGCCCACGTACCCACGTGCTCTTCGCCAAACGTTGAGAAGATTGTCGAACTGTTTAGGGAGGTGTCAGGTGGACTTAATTTTACCTGGGCACCGTCTGTGAATAACTGCATTCAGTTTTTAGCCATTTTGATCCTTTTTTCTAAAGAACATGGCTGTTGGCAGTATTGTCCGCGCTCTAAGAAAAGCCTGGTTTTGTTTGAAAGTGCTCACTCTAAACTGGTAAAGAGGCGTATAGCCCTGACATGTTAAGTGCGGCTCTGGAAAAAAGTTGCAATCACCAGATGAAAATCAGTCTTGAAAGACAATCAAAAAGGTTAAGAGATAATATAAATATTATTACAAATAAAAACCGTCCTAGTTGTTTTTCATTGTAAGTTTAACCTGTCAAAATACATGATATATGATTATTTAAGGTTCTCTTACTTAAAAGGGTTTAATAAGCTTTTGGAATTCAGCGAATATTTTAGCGACTTCCTGGCGAATCTAGCGACTGTTTAGTGACTTCCTGGTGTCAATTTAGCGGCGCGCGTAAAAAAAAGATGGCAACGCTGTCCGGCTGCCACAAGCCATTCATGCCTTCCGCAACTGAATCTGCATGGCCGTTAGAGGGTGGCACTGATCGTACTTTTGCTGTTATTCTGATTAATGGAAGTCCAGTGATTGGTATTCAAAGTACATCGCGGTGCGGTACACAAATGAGAGATAGTGAGAGTGAAGAGCGCAGAACTTTACGTAAAAGAGTAAGGGTTAATTATGGGCTACCACACTTAGTGGATATTTTATTTTCTACAGTCAACTGCATCGTACTAAAGTTAAACTAAAGTATGGAAGGTCTATAAGTACCGAGTATTACGCCGGTGCGGGTGAATGCTTGTCGTATGCCTAAAACATTTGAGGCTGGCCCTAATATTAACTTCAGTCATTCGTTTAGTTAACAATGGGGCACAGAACTGACGACAGAGGATTAATAGATTTATTTTAATTATTTAGCTTGTAATGTGAGGAACACATCTTTGGCCACAGTCAGTCAGAAAAAGTTTGGATTAGATGTTTAGAGACAAAAGGTCAAGTATGAACAAAACTGAATTGGCATCACCGCCTGAAATTTGCCGTTCAAGATGATGTTGTTACCAACTTCCTTAGATAGATTAAATATTAAAAGACAGTTTCGATTTGTGCAATAATATGTGCGTTCAATTTCCCACCGAGTTTGTGCATTTCTGCCTCAGCTTGATTTACGTAAAATTGACATCTGAACTTCTTATACGTGAAATACATAGGTATATTTTCGCGTTAAGCACGTTTTGAGTTGACTAAAATTGATGGTGTGACCAAGGTCACATCTCTCATCTCCGCTATACGTTCTTTCGGGATTATTTTACTCCCATGTTTTACGGGCATTTAAGAAGCCTTCACACCGAATGCCTTTATCAAATCGGCGAATCAACTTGGTGTCTAGGCTCTTCACGTGCTCCCCAGCATGCGCTGCATTCCCGAGTCTCTAGAGGCCTTCACGGCGAAGGCATTCTTAGAATAAACGAAGCACCGTATTCAAGAAATCCCGGGTTGATGAGCTGATTTTTGAAGACCGTTGGTCCGAGGACCTCTGAGACCTTCTAAACGGTGGGATTACACGTCTTATTGACGTCTCTAATAATCGTTCCTTTTCGAGTTCCACCTATACACATTTACAGCTTTTATCACTCGGGCCAAAATGCTGAGTCACTGAGCTAAAAACGCATGCGTAGCGTCTGATATTCGGCTGAAGAGAGCTACTGTGCATGCTGAGGACGCGTTTCAGGGCCGAGTAAGACAAAGGTAAAGGTCCGTAGATAAGAGCTTCTGACAAGTGGCGACATTCTTTGAAGCGCCGACTGCGTGACGGTGCAGCTTTTAGGAAACGAATGGCGGCGCACGGCACAGATTTGAACTGAATGCCGCCATTTTGTTCCAGTAGAATGTGCTTTGTCATTTGTGTTGGTTGTCGTTACTTGTAAAAGAAGTACCTATCAAGGGACTTGAGACAAAGGTGGTAGCGTGCAGAAGGTGACTGTAGAGTGGTCTAAGTAAGTGTACGTAGTCGACCGAAAGACAAAAGCTGGGTTCTCGTAAACGGTTCCGAAGCGTTTGAGATCTTAACCGGCCAAGTTGTTCCAGCGGCTTACGTGTTTCTGCCTTCTTGTTTCCTTTGCAGTCGGTTCCCTATGCCTGTCCTCTACCCGGCAGCCTTACCGTTGGGTCCCAGATCCTCATACAGGGACTGGTACCTGCGGTATCCCTACGGTGAGCACTCTCGTCTAGTTCAGGGTAGAACAAATACCAGCCGTGACAAACCTTTAGTGGGATTAACAAGTTCTATCGGATCACCACTCGCAAATGGGCAAACGGAATATCGGCAATGTTATCGGAATGCAAAAACAACATCTGCTAAAAAGTTTTCTTATCTTTCGAACAGTAATTGAAAATATGAGAGTGAGGGCCAAATGAAAAAGTTACTTCTTTCGCACAAACTGTTCCACGAATATAACTAAACTTTCACCAAGCGTACGCTGCACCGTGACGTGCTTCATTGGTCGTCCTGGAACCAGTTCATCCAATGCGAAGTACTATCGGTATCCTACAACACTAGCCAAATAGAGTAGCCGTCTTTTTGCCCCTGAGACTGGAAGAACTTGAACAAAGTACTTTCTGTAAAGGGCTATTCACACTTAACTAGGACGTCCTTGAGCTGCATTGGCGCGCACGTAAAGAGTCGGGGGGGAGGGGGGCGGGCAGGGGGGGCATCTGAGAGACGTAGCTCTGGTGGCAGCTCTAGCTTAGCTTAGGTTCTTCGGGGCGTTTGAAAGCTGTCTTTTAACGGAACGTTGAATGCTACCGAGAGGATTTCAGGAGGCATGCTGACAGAAACTGAGTGAGAGGACGAGACAAGAGCTCGGGGGCCGGGGACGTCAGAACTAGAGCTCTGGTTGGGATGGTTAGTGGGAATCGTAAAGCTATCTGCCTTTGTCTCCACTGCGCACGTCGAACGTGTTAGAACGCGGAACGCCGGCGTCTGGCGTTTGGTTTTCGCATTCTAACACGTTCGACGAGTGCAGTGGCGACATAGCCAGCTAGCGTCACGATTCCCACTAATCATTCCAACCAGAGCTCTTGTTCTGAAGTCCCCGCCCGCTCCCGTCTTCCCCTCTCCCTCATTTTCTGCCCGCATCTCTCAGAAAACTCATCCTGCGCTACGGCTCTTGCGTGACAGTCGTCTCTTCCTTTTTTGTGTACTTTGCAGGTTTTCCGTTAATCTTCAGAGAGGAGCTGGGGAGGGTGGCGACATCTTCCTCCATCTTAACCCGCGCTTTGAACCGTCGGGACCGGTTGTTGTCCGCAACAGCCTACAGGGCAAATCGTGGGGTCGTGAGGAATGTGAGGGCCCGTCCCCTTTTGCCCAAGGACGACCCTTTCTACTCGTCATCACTGCCCTCCCACAGGGCTATGAAGTGAGTATAGAGACTTGCAGAAAATTCCTCAACCAGTACCATGCTACAGTCATGCACAGGGTGAGAACGTCAGGGAGGAGGAGTTCCAGTTGCCCCGCATTCAGAGCTTCCTACCTTCGATGGCACGTGCGTAGCGCGTGCACGCTACCTTGAGCGTGCACGCGCTGTCAAACCACGGCGAAAGGCACGCCACCGCGTGCTGGAGGTCAGGCGTTCCAAAGAAACCACCTGCCGTTCTAACCCTGTCAGAGACTATAAAATACGAGGCCTCCAGATGATGTTATAGCTAGTAGATCCCCCCCCCCCTTCCATTTCCCTCGCCCCTCATACGTTCCCTTCGCGACTCCAGCAAAACGGACGGCACCTAGCGGGAAAACACTGAACTTGCCGGGACAGGTCCTTTCGCGATTTTCGCTCGTTTCACCTGGCGGCCGTGATTGCATGTTTAGGCAGTTGGTGCGATGGCCACCGAAGTAAAGCGGGACAAGTTGCGCTCCTTGTGTTCACAGCAGCGAAAACAACAGCTACAACAAAACCGCAGGAAAAAAAAAAAGTGGCTCATTATGGCCGAACGAATCAGGTGCGACTTGCATTGTTACTCATGCTTCGTAAAGCGAACAGTTTTTTTCCCGTGACTCGTCACATACCAGCGTGTAGCACAGGTCATCCTAAACGCAACCTACGTAACCGCGGAAGCCGGTGGTCGTGCGTTTATCAACGTTTCTCAGCGCGGTATAAGGGGGAAGTTGGCGGTGATTCCATCGCTTCCCGGTGAAGAGAGCTAAGCTTCTTGAAGTTCGCTTACGCGAAGCACACCGCCGCAGGCTTTCAACGTGAAAGTCGTGGCTAACCAATTTGAAGACAATGCTTGCCTGCTTAAAGTTTAAACCCAACGTTGCGCTTTATTGAGCTGGCACACGGCAGAGTACGCCTTGTGTGCAACCGCCATATTTGTCGAGGGTGGCGACCCCTATTGGCAATCCAACGAAACCAATGCCGCGTACTGGCAACCCCGAGAAGCTCGGGAGAGGAGGTCATTTCGACTCTGTCGTCTGCTATTGCTGCTTGGTTCTCGTAGGCGGCATAGATACAAACGTCGTTTCCAGCAATTCTGTTTACGCTTCCGCCGGGTCATTCCTACGCCCCGTCTAGACGAAGGTTTCTACCGTCGAAAAAATCGCTTTGCTTTCGTTTTACGCTGCAGAGCAAGAAATTTATGGTGGTCCGCGTGCTGAACGATGCAAACGACCTCCCTTCGTCCGCCATTTTGCCTGACCAGCGCGCCCCCCATAGTTCGATGGGGTCGTGGATAGGCCGCTGGAGTCGCGAATAGTGAATCCTCCACGCAGAGCCACCCAGCTCGCTTCAGCGTCGCCACCATCGTGTCCTGCGGCGTCTGTCTAGGAGCTCGAGGGTATAGGGTGTTTTCACTGACGTAATTTTGTCCCCCATTTTTATGATGGGAACTGTTTGGCGTGTGCCAAAGGCAAGCGTTTCGAGGATTTAAATGACCCCTTAAATGCCTAGAGCACGGAAACTTATGTCTTACCACGCTGACATCTCCTCAGCGGTTTGCGATGTAATCCTTCATGTTCGTAAATTTGTTTGAAAAAACAAACCAAAAACAAACTGGCGGATGTGAAACCATGCCATGTGTCATGTGACACATGTGTCAACCATGTTTCATGTGAAAACAGCCTATACCATGAGACGACGCCAGGCGCGTCTGCCGTTTTGCGGCGGCCTCTCGTCAGGTTTCACTGTGTTTGTGCCGCTAAGGATAGGTCAGGAGTCCTCTAAAAATGTCTCCGTGCGCCGCGGCCTTGTCTTCGAGGTGGTACGGCCTCAACTTTCCGCTTTCTTTATCTGCCAGTGTCGTCACTCACTCGTTTCCACTAATGCGTTCTCTGTTTTTGACGTTGAACAAAAAACTAAAACGAGTTTGAACTTGCTTCGTCTACCTCTCGCACTTTGCCCTTGTTTTTTTTTGGCCAGTGTTAGCTTCTATTCAATGTCATAAAACAACTTCCCTAAAATTTTCTTTTGTTACTGCACCTTTAAAAAAATAATAATGTTTTTTTTTTTCTTTTTATCTTGGAACTAGGTCATGCAACAAGTTCCATTAGTGCAAAAATGTAGACCACGAATCTAGTGCGGAGTCACATTTCCGCGATATTAATTAAAACTTTGCGGGAGTCCATTCTTGACAGTACGCAAAGATTGCTTTGTGTACTACAGACAAGTTATGCCAGTTATATTGATTAGGCCTACGGCTCGCGCAATCAACAATAAATAAATGAAAGGGCTTGCTATCTAAAAACACATATGTTCGCATATGTGTGCGTCACTCTAGAAATAAGTCCGCGCGTCTATTTTTTCGCAGATCGTTTACAGAGATAATCACTGAAATATGAAGAGTAAACTCAATAAATGAGGTTCAAAAACAAAGAAACAGTTTCGCCCTAAATTTGTTTCTTAAAGTGTTACAAGATACAACGTGTTATAGTCTAGAAGCGTTTATATTAACAACGATCCCACCAGAATAAAAATATCCTTCCTCCCCCCCAAAAAAACAAAAAAACAACCGAAATCGTTACATTGAAAACAACTTATAACTGCAGCTGATATATTATACTTACAAATTCAAGATCTGATTCAATGCTTACAACTTCAAGATCGGACTTTTACTTTCTCCTTTTTTTTTTTTTTTTTTTTTGTGAATCTCGGAATAAGCTCGAATGTGAAAAAAAAAAAAAAGAGTCGTCTTTTTTTGTTTTGCTGATTTTTTTGTCTGACGACAGTGCCGTCGGCAGCTTCGCCATCAGCCCTTTAGACCACCGCGGAAAGTTTAATTGATTCAGCTTAATCAACGTCACACAAACATACGAACACACACGGAGCAGATCCGAGAGTACCGAGCGAAGTCAGGTTACAAGGAGAGGTATTCTGTACGGCATTCTCAATTAGAGGGCAAATTACATCTTGCCGTTCGCCCCGATCGATACGGCGATTGTGTACGCTATGCTAAGAAAAGCACCAATAAGATACGATGAGTCTGAACTCTGGGTGGGTGATGTTCTTTTTTTACCCCAGACGTTTTTCTATTAGTTTTTGTTACGAATCGGTCTGACGCTTAAATAGCTGAATAGAGCTTAATGAGCGTCGCAAATGGGCTATCGTTTTAATTCCCCACGGCGGTTTTTCGTTAAACAATTCACGAGCGAATCCACAGCGGCCGCCGATGGGTTCCTTGCGTTGTTTGAAACTTTTGTCGCCCTTACTTAAAACAACTCCGCGTGCTCCTTTTTTTTTTTTTTCATTAAATTTAATACGTTGCTTGGTCGGGACACGCGCTACTGACTTCCAAAGTACCTAGTGCGCAAATTATTCAGCCTTTTTTCAGAAACTAGTTGCTTAGCAAAGTTGCATGAGATCGGCGTGTGCATTTTCTATCCTAATCAATATAAAAAATAAATTGTATGGAACTAAAAGTTCGAACTTTTATATGCTGTGACGAGTTCTTTACTCGTAAATGAAAAATAGGATTCCTACTTCAGGAGGATCAGAACTTATTTCGCCAACAAAAGTATGAGGGAGGATGATGATATTATGTTAATTTGTGGCACGATTATGCCTTCTTTTTTTCTTCCTCTCCTTGCTCCGGGGCACCTGTAATAGCGTCTTTCCATTCGAGGTCTTACATTTTGTTTACCTCTATTTCTCAGTAGCATATTTTGTTTGTGGATGCGTGCAGTAGGCAGCCCAGGGAACAATTGACCTTTTTCAAAACTCCGTCGAGCAACATTGGCTGTCGCCATTCCTTGAACGCGAAGCGCATGAGTGGACCAGAGTCGTCGCCGAACGCTCACGAAGTCCTCGTGACCAGCTCACACGCTCAAAGTTTCTGCTCAGAGTTCGTGCTCATAGTTCGTGCTCAGAATTCATGGCCAAACACTGGCAGACTAATAATTGGCGCAGCCGCTTCTAGATGGCGCGCCTGTCGGTGACCGAGTGCGTTAGCGCGACGCAGGTCGGAGTAGGCGGAGCCCGTCTCGACCTGGACGAGCGCCCTTACTGCAGTCCACGGTCGTGGAATCGTTACACTGCGCGATGCATGTTTAAGGCCCGTTCACACACTTGCGTTTTAGAGCGCAGCTCTTAGGCGCCTGTTTCCGGCTTGACCGGCGTCGGCGTCGCCGTCGCCGTCGGCGTAACTGCGCGGTGCATTATGGGTTGTTCGAGGCGGGGTTTAGGCCGCACGTCCGGAAGCTTCCTGGCTCGAGACGACGTCCATTCCCCGAAGTGAAGAACCCAGGGGTCCAGTGGAGGTGGGAGACTTGGTAACGTAACGAACGGTTTAATTACATGGTAGCGATACAGTCGCCAAATCAGAGAGAACAACGGAGCAGCCTCGCGCTCCGCCTTATATAGGGTCCGTTTCTCCCTCACTCCCCGCCAGGGCAGCCAGTGCGATGCAGCAACCCGCCGTCAAGTGCGATGCAGCAAAGTCCGCCGTCCAGTGCGACGTAGCCAAAGTTCTCCGCAGTTAGGCCATGCCTCTCTCCCTTTCCCGAGCGCACCAACCACCACGCACACACACACGTCCCGCTAACGTCACGGGCGCGTTGAGACTTGTTGCCGCAGGCCCCGTCACGCAGGCGACGGTCCCGGACTCGTCGGGACTCGTTTCGCGCAGGCCCCGACAAGCGGGTGACGGTCCCGGACTCGTCTTGACTCGTTTCCGCAGCGTTGAAACTCGGAAGAAGGTCGCCGAAGGTTCCATTCTTAACAGGGTAAATGTTCCCGAAGGAACCCGAGGTCCTCCCGAACGACCTCGGGTTTCTTCGGGAGGACCTCGGGTTCCTTCGGGAGGACTTCGGGAGGACCTCGGGCTCCTTCGGGAGGACCTCGGGAGGACCTCGGGTTCCTTCGGGAGGACCTTGGGAGGACCTCGGGCTCCTTCGGGAGGACCTCGGGAGGACCTCGGGTTTCTTGGGGAGGACCTCGGGAGGACCTCGGGTTTCTTCGGGAGGACGGGAGGACCTGGGGGGGGGGGGTCACGTGACCTGGGGAGCACGTGACGATGACGTCATCAGTGATGATGACGATGACGATGCGGATGCCGATGACGTCATCAGTGACGTCACTGATGACGTCATCGTCACGTGACCCCCCCAGGTCACGTCTCCCCCCCCCCCCCCCGCGAGGTCCTCCGGAAGGACCTCGGGTTCCTTCGGGAGGACCTCGGGAGGACCTCGGGCTCCTTCGGGAGGACATCGGTTTCTTCGGGAGGACCTCGGAAGGACCTCGGGTTCCTTCGGGAGGACCTCGAGTTCCTTCGGGAGGACCTCGGGTTCCTTCGGGAGGACCTCGGGAGGACCTCGGGCTCCTTCGGGAGGACCTCGGGAGGACCTCGGGTTCCTTCGGGAGGACCTGGGGGGGGTCACGTGACCTGGGGGGTCACGTGACGATGACGTCATCAGTGACATCATCAGTGATGATGACGATGACTATGCGGATGCCGATAACGTCATCAGTGACGTCACTGATGACGTCATCGTCACGTGACCCCCAGGTCACGTGCCCCCCCCCCCACCGAGGTCATGTCATCTCCCAGGTCACGTGACCCCCCCCCCCCTTTCCGAGGTCAACTGACCCCCCCAGTACCCTTCCCTCCTCCTCCTCAAGAGCTGCGCTCTAATTCGGCGTTACAGGGAGTTGTAAACGGCTTTCATTTTTTTAGGACCCTGTGCCTTAAAACTTCTTAAAATCTCTTAGGACGCGAGCAGACTGGCACGCTGGCGCCATCTAGGATGAGACCCTGGAACTTCATTTTGCTAGAACGAAAGTTACGCGGTATTGGCGAGATCAGATGCGCGCACTATCTATGATAAATGTCCGTATACACGAGGGGCGTTCGTAAAGTTCGTATTATAGGCACAAAAAATTAAAAAAAAATGGAACAAAACAGGCGTCAACATGAGCGCGCGTCCCTCTAGTTTGCTACAGTAGCTCGGAACACCGCCAGGGAGTGGAAACAAAAGTGGCACCACCCGTCGGTGCCAAGCACATGCAGTGATCCGTTCTTTTTTTTTTTCATTTGAAGGGAAGCAATGCCAAGGATATTCATTCCAATCTGAAAGTGTTTTTCGGGACTCAATAGTCCCGAACCCGGACTCGATAGATGGCGCCAGTCTGTACTCTCGTCGTAATAGATTGGCATCCCTGCTGCCCATGGACGACTGTCCCATCCCACCCACCAGGCTTCACCAGGTGGGAGAGGGTATGCATCCGAAGGTTCTAGACATGCGTAGCCCTGACCCCAGTATGGCATTCTCGATTTTATAAGCCCACTTCACCGGACGATCCCGGCCCAGACCCGCTCTGTAGAACTTGCAGCGTACCTGCTACCTGCCAGCACCTTATTGGGGACTGTCGGGCCATCAGCAAGCAAAGACAAGATGCCATACACGAGCTAACCGCGGAAGCCAGACCCGCAAAGACCAGCCAGTGACAACCTCAATAGGAAAAAAAAATTTAACTTTCTGTTGGGCTACGTATGGTCGGCGGGCCTTTCTCAACTCAATTACCCCCCCCCCCCCTTCCCCTACCCTAATCACCCGTTTCCCTATCCGCATCAAAGCTAGATTATATTTATCAAGAGGACTTGACATAACGCTTTTATTAATAAAAAAACGTTTAACCATCACCAGAGATTTTAAGAGTTTTCAGGCCAAACAGTTTTAAGAAGTCGCAAGCGTGTCAACGGGCCTTTAAGGGCCGCCCACACTAGCGAGAAAACGCGCCCGGCGCGCCGATAAATCGGTTAAGCGGGAAGATAAAGAGCGTGTCTCTGCACGCGCTCGTGGCGCTGACTGTGCTTCGGCGACATTTTGTTACTTGCCGCGATCGGCGTGCCACGCGCGTTTTCTCGCTAGTGTGGGCGGCCCTTTAGGCTACCCGCACGAGTCCTGCTGCGCTGGCTAAATGCTTCTCTATTAACGTTTGGGGGATATCGGCGGCCCAGTGGGCAAGCGCACACCAGCTTGGAGCACGTGGAGCGGAAGCTCGCGCTGCAGAACCCAGGGATCCTGGGTTCGAGCCCCACCCCTGCCCGTTTCGATCTGGTTGAGCATCGTACCGGCGTGCGGTCGTGTATCTCTATTGCGTGGTGCAGGTTAAAGACCCTGTAGGTTAGCGGTTGTACCGCACTGGCTAAATTGCTCATCTACTGCTGAAAGACAAGTCGCCAATTGAAGCAAACCAATAGACCCTTTTCAAAAGTCATTGTGGCAGTCCAGAAAGCTCCAATATTGCCGCTCTAATGGCGGTGATAGGAGATGATGCGCGGCTAAATCAAGCACCCTCGATTTCGTGCATCGAAGGTGACGTGAAATGACCAACATCTTTTCCCTTTTCTGCTCTATGCTTTCGGAGACGTTCGATTTTTCTGGTGTGGAGAAACAGTGTAGTTCCGCCATTAGAGCGTCGGGTCTGGCTCTGCACAAGGTGGGTAGACTGACTTTCGGAAAGGGTCTATTTCTAGGCTGTACAAACATACACACAACCCAATTTTTTTTTTCTATTAGCGTTTGCAAGTACGGTTTCAGGGCGCCGCCATCATGCTCAGTTGGGGTGCGCTTGGGCGCGTCATAATCAGATTGCTTGCTTGGAGTGCGCTTGGGCGAGAGTATAATCCGATTAGGACGCCTTAGCGAGGCGTCGTAATCGGATTATGGCCACGCCCAAAAGCATCCCAAGCGAGCAAGATGGCGGTGCCTCGAGGCTGTACTTGTTAACGTACATACATGGCTCGCACTGACGTCATGTAAGCGGCCGTTGTTCTGGCCTTGCTGCCGAACGCGTAGCTTCTGAATCATACATTTTTGCACCATCGACTTTACCTGTCTCAGAAAGAATAAGTAGGAACGACCACCGGCATGAAGCTATGACGTCACGGGCAAGACATCTATCTAGCGTAGTCTTATACGCGTTATATAAAGAATTGATCGATTACAATTACAATTACTCGCGTTTAAAAATGTATTCAACTAAATCACTCGATCATTCGAGACGAAAAGTAATTGGCGGTTACTCGAATAAATCACCGTTACTTCTCCAACTACTCCAGATTTTCAAAACGACAATTTTCTGCCAGCTTGAAAACGTTTTCTTTTTATTTTGTATTGTCTATTGTCGGATTAAAAGTACCAAATTATGAACTACATATCTCCTTAATTCTTCAATTTTGGTAAAGCGTCCTCCTGTCGGTGATTGGGTTCGAGGATTCCTCGGTAAAGGAAACTTGTTCGAACATGGACGCATTAGAAACGGTAGGGAAATAACATCTAACGGCTACGAGTAATTTTAATACTTCCAAAAGTAATTAGATTACTGCTGCGATTACATCCCCATCAAATGATTCCAAAATTACTTAAAAAAAGAATCAATCGTAAGTAACTTGATTACTTGTGAGGACAGTATACTAGACTGATATGGCGTGTTGAGCGGGTGTATAGCCATTTCCGCAGGGAATAGAGACCGTACCTCTGGCTATTCGAACATTAATAACGTGCCATTCGACCCTTTGCTTTTGGTCGTGCTTGTGCGTGTTTGTGTCTCCCGTGCCGGAGCTGATGTTGGGCCCGTTGTCTGTTTGCAGCTGGCGGTTAATGGGCTTCCTTTCACAACGTTCGCTTATCGAGAAGGACTGGCGCTTGCCGATATCACTCACCTCGCAGTACACGGGGACGTCCTCCTCCGTTCTCTGCACATACTTGTTCCGGAGATGGTGAGTACACCACCTTATTGAGAAAACAACAAAACCTTTCGTATAGGATTTGCATATCATAAACGTACAATAACTTATATATGTACCTTATACAAGGACGATATCGAGCATAGCTAAGTTCTTGTATGTTCTATTATATGTTAAAATATGTTTACTAGACACATTCGTATAGCATTCTTGCACCTCACTGTCACAAGCCGAACATTTGACGCCTGTAGGTGGACTTAGTGTGCGTACTGTAATAAGAACTTTGCGATGATTAATTGGCGTCCGCAGAGTTCCGTGTAACATTGTAAAGTATAGCCGAAAGTTTTCTTTACGTGCCGCGTTGTCTGCCACACTTTCTGCGTAACTCGACGAAATATTTCCCGCAAGTTTATAACCGAGTGCGACGTAGTCGCCAAACTGAGAGCGGAAATTAACGAGCGGCAACCACCGGCCGCATTCGTCGATCGCAGCACGGCTCCTGCACGCGTGAAGAGTGGCTTTCTCGCATGACATTGGGTTTGACGTCACGCGACTGCGGTGGCGCTGCTGTCGGCACTGCGCATGCGCAGATGTGCTCTGACTCACGCGAATCTGGTTTCTTCAGACGCGCACTCCGGAGTGAGCAAACGCTGGCTTGTTCGTAAACAGTGTGTTGGTGTACACTACATATAGAGAAACTCTTGGTGTAACTTGTGCCGATTTCTTTTTTTTTTTCTTGCAGCCAAAGTGCCTACGCGTCGCTCTACCAGACAAGGCTAAGGTTGGAGACGTTTTCGCACTTAGAGGGGAAATATCGCCGTGGCCCGAGAAGTGAGTCCACCCCTTTAGAAGGAACCGCCTTTCTCTGTTTGCGCTACTTTACCCCCCGATCCGTAGCGTACGAACGGGTCAAGGGGTATCGAATGTCACTCAGCTCGGAGTTCCGCGCCGGCTGAGTGAGCGGCCACTGCAACGACATATGAGATGGCGTCAGTACTTTGAATACAAAATTTTCGAGTGTTGATTAACGATCGCGTGTCAAAATGTAACCAACTACTCTAAACATTGTCCTTCGCTGATGCGTGCGAGATACACTCTGTCAATTTAAAACGTAAAATTCCAAGATACGTTTTTGTTTTTATTTTTGTGATTGTTCATTTTTACCGCTAAAATATTCATTAAAACGTTCAGCCTTTCTACTTTGGTGAAGAAGGAAGACCAGCGAAGCTGTACTATGCTGGGAAGGAAGCAATGGCCGGCCGCAAATCGGCAAGCCAGCGTGGAAAGGTTCGAAAGGTTGCCGCCATAGCAACGGCGGCAACCAGACAACAGTCAAGCCGGTTCTTTGGTTGCCGCCATCGCTTATAGATGGCGGTAGCTGTCAAGAGTGTTGTGTCGACACTTGTTTGCAGGCGGACATGATCCTAGGGAAACTTGCTCTTCACAGCTCCGCTGTAAAAGACAATGAAAGAAACTACGTTTTTGCAATATCCGTGTTGTGCAAATTTCTGTCCTGCATCGTATGTCTAAGTCTGCCATACCTTCCTATTCTCGTCAAAAGCGCGGCACTTCGTCGCGATAAGTATAAATTGCTTGGACAACGTAAAAATATAGAGGAGGCAACGGCGGATGAGAATCTCTGACATCCGCGTCATGTCTCAGCAGCGGGTGTTTCAAAAATTGGTTCGTACAGGGGCCGCCTCCTTGTTATGGCGCTAGTATCGGAGAGATTTCCGTCTGCCGTTCGCTCCTCTTCTCAGGTTTACGGCGGTGACTTCCTTTCAACATGACTACATTAGCTCTGTTGTGGAAATCCCGGGGAGTAGGGTACCCCCTCACCCCCTTCAGTCCACCTCCCCTCGTTTGAAGCGCCATCTAGGTTTGCGCTTCAAAACTGTTTGTTCCATCGAATACGATGAAACGCCCATGTTACGGCCATCATCATTTAAAAAATATGACGTCATTTAAAAAAAAAATAAGACGTAATTGGGATGGGCGTCAAAAGAAAAACATGTTTAAGCATAACTACAATGTAAAGCATAGCCAAGAAAAAAGCAGTGCTATTGGCACGAACACCTTGAATTCTTGCGCCTTCCAATCGGCAAATAAAGCGATTTCCTATATTTCCCCAACTCAGCTACATCAAAATTGAACATGGCGGCCGCCTCAAAGAACAACAACAAACAAAAACGGTCTAGAGACGTTTTCGTGCAGCAAGGCTTCGAAATCTATACCCTGCTACAGGTTACGAAAAACAGGACAAGCTGCTCCCTCCAAGCCCTCCACCCTTTCCACTTGGCAGAGCAAACGCCCGAGACGACACCCCAGTCCCTCCAAACACCTTCCGGATAAGAAAGCCTAACTGCCAATTAGCCTGCGTCACTCAAAGCGGCGACCGTAGGGCGCAGATTGGACACGATTGTGACATCACAGTTCGGCAGGAACTCGTGTCCAATCAGCGACAAGCCGAGTCCAGGACGAACACTGACGCCACAGTCGTGTCCAATCTGTTCCAACGGTGGCATCTATTATTGACGCAGGAAGATTCAGCACTTAGGCTTTCTTATCTATATCGAAGGCGTTGTCCCTCATGGCCTCCTTTCCGGCGTTCGCTCTTCTTAGTGAGAAGGGGGGGAGGGGTTCGTGGCATGAGCTTGCCTTGTGTTTTTAAACGTGCAACAGGGTGCAGTCTGGCCACCGTGGAAGACAAAGTGCGTTCGGGCGCGTTATGGCGTCAGTCTCGCTACCCTCGACACGCCTTAAGAAAGCTTGGCTATCAGACGATCTGCACACTCCAGCAAGCAAGATGACTGCGCCCATGGGCCGTGTACAAGCAAATGTCTATAGGGAGGCTATCGTTTTGCGGGGAAGTGAGCGCACAGAAAAGTTTTCGAGTGAATGGGGATTTTTAGCAAACCGTTACCGCGTTCTGCGTACCGCACTACCAGAGCCTTTGAAGCGTGCTTTTAAGCGCGCGCTAAGGTAATGGTTTGCTAAAAGTCTCCATCGTCTATGGTCATCGTACTAACTAGAAGTTTATCTCAGTGGTCCTTCAACTCTGTACCGTCTCATTTTTTGCTTTGTTTGCAGACTTGTACTGAACTTGACGTCGGGGATGGGCAAGGACGACGACGTGGCGCTGCACGTGAACCCGCGGTTCGCGGAGTCGGCCATCGTGCGCAACAGCCTGAAGGGAGGCTCGTGGGGCGAGGAAGAGCGGGACGGCGAGATGCCGCTGGCCATCGGGCAGCCCTTCCGGCTGTCCGTGGCCGTGCTCGAGGACTGCTTCCGCCTCACGATCAACGACGCCCACTTCGCCGACTACGCGCACCGCCTGAGCGTCGGCAGCGTCCGCAACCTCGTGGTCGAAGGGGACGCGGTCATCCACGACGTGGTCGTCGAGTCGCAGGAAGTGAGTCGGGGCAACGCGTGCACGTGGAAGACACAGCGCCACTCACGGCGTCTTGTAACCTGCAGCGCGACGCTATGTGGAGAGCAAGTTCGCTTACCCGCTGCATATCCTTTCTTTACAAACTGAAACAAAAAAGGCGCAAAAAACGATTAATTGTAAATAATAGTCGTGTAATTGCGAACTCTGTGAGTTCGTTTGGTGACGACACTGACTGTGGCTATATACCCCAAGACAGAATGGTAACGGTGTGCTTTTTTGCGTCCCGTCAAAGCGGAGAATATCAAAGCTGATCACCAACTGTTGTCCACTGTAAAGTTGCACTCTCTCTTGTTCGCTTGCAGAACGAGTTGGAACTTGGACAGGCTGATAACTGGGAGCTGTATCAACCACCCGAAATGCCGCGAGAAGAAGCGCTGCAAGAGGTGAGGATCTTTTCGTCCATCGAACTTCCCACATCGCCCATGAGGCATTATTGCGAGAGGACGGGGGATAAAGGACTGCGTTTCTCATTCCTGTATAGTACAAGGAACAGATGCTTCTTGTTGCAAAATGATTGAACTCGTATTTAACGAACGTGTGGCTCTTACGTACGGAGTTGAAAAGCAAAATAAACTAGACTACCAGCGTTTGGAAGCTGCGGGTGGAAGGAGATAATTAGTCAAGCATGTCTGCTTCCTCCTCGTCTTCTACACTGGAAGAAACATTAAGGTTCAAAGTTAGAAAAAATGAAAAAATTTAACGATACTTCTTTTTTTCTTTCTTTTGGTTTTCAGGATCAGCAAGTTACGGAACTTCTCGCTGAATCTCAGATCCACTTTGAACCCAAATTGGAGGTTATTCAACCGGTAAGTAACGAGCATGTTGAACGAAAAAGAAATAAGGGAAGAAACGGATGTGAAAATAAAATTATAAGCAATAATTTCAAATGGTTTTTAGCGACTATCGAGCTTGAATTACATAGTTCCGGAAAAGTAATTTTTATGCGAACGTGGGTCAAAGCAGTGTAGTGAAAAGATATCTCAATTCCAAATGTATATTAGGAAAATATAAAAAAAAAGTGCGAACCTGTCTTTCTTGATATTCTTAATTTAAGTGACCATTAGATTTTCTGTCTGAATACAGTTTTTTTTAGGATCTCCCTAAAACGTTATTAATTTTAACGAGGTAAGATTTCACGGATGAGTTATATTACCATTACCTATTACTTTAAACACCAATATGTTACTTGGTTATATAACATAGGAAGAATTGCATTTGTATCATTACCCCCTATTAACAGGTAGAGTATTTGTACAGAAGTTTATTTCACCAACAATAAAACTGGTTTTGAAATTCTGTAACGTACCTACGTCTGCAGTTTGTTTGTGAAAAGGTTCGTTTGCGCTTTCGAGTAAAGTCAATGTGCAGTATAGATGTTGCCAATCGAACTAATTTCACATTACTCTCATTGTGCCATTATAAGAAGCATTTAGAAATAAGAATGATTGCAAAATGTATGGTGAATATAATGAAATTCGCCTAAATGTATGTCGTTAATACTGTATCTTGCTTAGAACTAAAGCTCCTATTTCACAAAGTATTTCCGATCATTTATAACAAACTCTAATAAAAAAAATCTAACAGAGTATCACGAGCTAATCCGAAAAATCAACGGTGGTAAACGAGCGGCCATTCCAACACACGACCGAACAATGCCCTACAGCTCCTACCTTTGAATCCAGTTTTTACGGAACAACACAAACCAAAAAACGTAGGTCGTTCCTTCGACGCTTACCCTTATTGAAACAATAAATAATAAAAAATACTGCGGTCATTTGGAAACAGATTTGAATACGCGTCGTTGCGCAAAGATTTGCTTTAATATGGCTTGCCCGTACACAAGTCGTTAGGTCTAGGTACCACGCAGCAATCTTGGCAGTTGGCTTCGAGGAGATTGCATTCTTAAGGCACAGCTCTCGAGCTCTCTGAAATGAAGCCTGCTTTCGGCGGCAGTGCTCGTTGAAACGCAAACGAGCTTTCATCCATCGCAACTCTACGTGGGTACGCTTTCCTCTGTCATGAACGCAGCCCAAGCCGGTCTGCCAAAGGATCCCAGAAGTGATGACTCCTGGTAGAGTGGTTATCGTGTCTGGAGAAGTGGAGCCCACGGCACAAAGGTACGTGCTCGCGGGACGGGATCTTCCCGGAGAACGCTAGCTGCTGCCGGCGCCTCGCCGGGTCTTTATATATAGACCGGGATATTTGGGTTCCGTAGCAGCCGGGCGCGCGCGCGTTTTTGGAAGGGTGTGTGTTTGCATGCATGGCGGGGTGTTTCTGGGTCGGGAACGAAAGCGAACTCAACTTGAACGTCAGCATCTTACTACTATTGTGCGCGCGTTTGTGTGTGTATATGTGCTCGTATGCGTCTGAAGGCTTCTTTGCTCAAGATGTCCTTTTCAGCGATACTTTTGCAACTGAGTTGCCATATGAAATCATCATGTAGCCAGAGTTATTATATCGTCTATAGAATGTAATATAGTTATCATAACACACCATCCCTCGTTATTTAACTTCGTAAATAATTCTTATATCTCCGTAAAGAACTAGACCGACAACAGTTTGTCTATTTGTTGCCAAATGGATGCTGATGATTTTGAGCAAGATGACCATATTGAGCTGAAGATGCTCGAAAAGTCTATCTTCTCCTGGATGCTCAAGATGTCCATGTTAGTCAAGATGTTCATCTTTCGCAAGATGAACATCTTTCGCAAGATGACTTATTCACAAATCGTGCAAACGAGTGATGGTATGTATACAAGCGTTCGGTAGCCATAAGTAGTTTACTGTCACTATTATGCATTTTGGTGCTGCGTCGTACGCGTCATAACACGCTCTGTTTTGCGGTATCTGTTCACAGCTGTATCAAATATTCTTGCATCTCCTTCGTAGATAACTAAACCGGACTTTGTCCGTTTGATCCTCAAATTACCCCCGAGCTGAAGATACTCAAGATGCCTATCCTGTTATGAATGCGCAAAACGTGAATCTTATCCAAGACGATCGTCACATACAACATGCCCAACTTGCACAAAATTCTCAAGACCCCTATCTGTTTTATATTTGTTTCACATTAAAAAGCGTATTCTGGCGTTTTCTTTGTGGTCCTCGATTTGAGTGAAAATTAGCCAAACCTACCAACACATTGCTGAATTAGTAACCCAAATATTAGGGGAAATGATGTTTGTTCGCAAAGGTATTGAATTTAAGATTTTGGTCCTCACCATGCTTTTTAAACTGAAAGTTTTGTACTCGCAACAATGCAAAAGTGACGCCAGCGAGAGGCAGGGGTCCACTCTTCGGACTGTAGAATTTGCTCCCAACTGATTGCAAGCAGTTTCTCATGATGATGTCAAATGAATGCTTTAAAACCTCGCTCCAGCACCCTCGTAACAGGACGAAACAAATGAAGTGGTCATAGTCTGTTTTTTAAACTGCCTGCAACCTGCAATCCTGCCTGCCATGCACTGACTTCGCAGCGCTGAAAAGCCCGAGTATTTTTCAGTGTTGGGTTTTGGCATCATTTTTATTTGCCGATTTTACGAAAACTATTATGTATTATGAATTTGTTTTGCCATCGCTAAACCAATCAGAAACAAAAAAAAAAAAAGACCTGGTGGGGCGCCTATGACGCGGCTGATTAGTCCCATTACATTGTAGCGTCGAATGATGCGTATCATCGCAAGCTGAAACAAACTATAGATGTTCAAGATGTGCATATTTCTCAAGATGATCATCATGTTCAATATGTCCACCTTGCACAAGGTTCCCTCCTTCGCGTGTCTTTTGTTTCTCGTGTGATTCTTAATTGGGCACCTTGCCCAGGTTCTACGTCAACCTCCAGACGGATGTGGGCGACACAGCGGACGTGGGACTGCACATCAACCCCCGCTTCGACACCAACCCGAGAGGGGTGGTCCTCAACAGCCGCGACCGGGACCAGTGGCAGTCCGAGGTCCAGGTCACCGAAAAGTTTCCGTTCGCCCCGGGGTCGCCCTTCGAGCTCCAGATTCACTGCCAGGAAGACAAGTTCCGCCTGATCGTGAACGGCTGCTTCCTGGCCAACTTCCCGCATCGCATCGACCTCAGCAGGATCGACTACATATGCGTCGACGGCAGCCTCGTGGTGGACCGCGTCGTCTTTGCCTGAGGTTGTTTCGTCGAATCGGCCACCGCTTTCTCGAACGTGCATCGTCTTGTGGCGACTCCGGTTCTGCTGAAGCTGACGAGCGCTGCTTTGCTGTCGCTCAACTGAACCGTAGCACATAAAAACAATTTAAGATACATGTGTTTTTTTTTTGTTAATGTGTAAAAAGAAAAGAGGGGGTAGCATATTCACCAGAACTGCAGAGTATCCAACTTCTGCTATGTTTAGACGTGACGTATTAAAGGTAGCAGCGCTCGCAGCTTCGTCGCAACCTCGATACGATGGCCGATGCGCTTTCTAGATGCAGTTGCGCAGATGAAGCTACAACTGTTGCTATAAACGCTGTTTGACGCTTGTGTTGAGATTACGTCCGACCTTTTCTACAGTGGCGCCGTCACAAACTCTGTGATAATTGCAACAAGATTATTTTTACTACACGGACTTCAAAAATAAACTGAAACTATCTAAAGAACGAAGGGCCGACCATGTGCTTTCCCTTCATGGTTTCAACAATATGCCCAACTTGCAAACAAATTGTTTTCAATACTTCGCCACATATAAAAAATGAAAAAAAAGACAAATGAATCACTGGTTGTTGCCAGATTATCGAGAAGTACAAAATCGCATTTAGCTATCGAGAAAAAGGATTTACGCACACTTAGCGAAACTATTTATGCATATCGCAACGTATATGTGAGCTTCCTAGTGGTACACAAAGAATAGCCGTGCTTCACAGTACAAACGAGGAAGATTGTTAACTTTTTTGACGTTGGTCACTGTTGTGTTGTAGTTTTAGGCTGCCACTATTTTTTTAAAGCATATTTTCTTGTTCTGTGTCTACGCTACGAACGAACGCTTATTACTTATGTACGCGTAATTGGATAGGCATTCTAGGAACAAAGTGCACACCACGGGAATTAATCACTTTAGATATTATGCAAAGAGTATTTCGCTCTCGTTCGATGTGTATAAAATGTCTAACGAAAGAGCAATGCGTGTCCCGTTTGTGAAGGTTTAATCTGTTTTCTTGTCCTCAAGGACGAACCCCAACTATGCAAGTTAAACGTGTCCGATTAAACTTTTTCACATAAAGCCAACAGCAAGCGGCGAAAGCTCGAACTGCAATTTGCATTGGAAAAAAAAAAAAAAGAAGAGCGTTGCGTTACATATTCTATTTATTCCGTCACTAACCTGAGTCATGGAGGATGCACCAGAGGTAGCGCAATATCCCTTCGGGACGCCAACCGTATAGTTCCTGCTCTCGCCGCTGCGTGAGGTGGGAGTGCGCACTCACAGATCGCTTCTTGAGAAACGTCGCCGAATCTCCGCCATGTTGGGCTCCTTGCCGCTTCCCCGTCGAGTCTTCCATGTATAAAATAAATAAATAAAAAAGAAAAGACTAAGGTGGGCTTGCGTGTATTTCAAAGTGTGCATTTTACCTCTCTTTCGAACTATTCGTCTTATATTAAGTAAGAGAATAAAAAATAAAATAAAAGCGGCGTGAACCACGTTTTGCAAATTAGCGATTGCGACGTTCCACATATGTTTCGGTGAATTGGGAAAACGAAGGTGTCACGCTCAAAAGTAAAACCGAAAACAATTTCTTGCGCATGCAGAATTTTGTTTTGTTCCTTTCGTTGTCTGGGCAAGGCGCACTATCCTCGCTTGAGCGAAAAATGGTGCCGTTTAATTAATGTCTCGTATCGCTAAACAGGGGGCGATCGCCGACCATGTCAAATGCACCTTATTAACAACCTTGTTTCACGCTCAAGCGTCACCAAGCCCCGGGTGACAAAATGAAACGTTCTTAAACAAGCCGCTAAAAGATTGCTACTCGTTTCGCCACGTATTGCATTCTTGTCAATGCAAAAAAAAAAAAAAAAAGAAAACATAAAAACAAAGTTGGTATTATGATTGCGCTACTAAAACGAGACCGTTAATTAAAACGGTTACACGAGATGACAAAAAACAAAACAAAAAAACGAGATGCTTTGTAACGCTCTGTGCCTTTCGTCAGTAAAGCCAAATAAAAATGAATGAAATAACAGTGTACAATTGTTACGCGTGTTGTTTGGACTCCGCTAATGCGGAAGGTGACTTTTAGTTTTTACGCGATGGATCGATAGACTGACGTATATGGTTGAACCTCTTTAATAATAATAATATCGTGCGTATATTTACACAGCAGGAAGTTTAATTGTCAGCCCTTAAGTAACACCATGAAGTATACGGCACGCTTGTAAACGTAGCTTCGAGACATCTGCGACGTCTTTCGGATGCCGTAAACAAGATGTGTACTTTACCATTACGTCCGCAAGACGTTCAGCATCTTAGGTTAAGGGTACACTTAAAAGCCTCTACAAAATATCTTGGGGAACGTATACCAGACGTCTTTAACGATGTATCGTAGACCTCTTCAGTGATATATACTGGATGACTTGATGGACATAAGCGGCTTGAGTAACGTATATCAGATGTTTCAAAGGCGTCTTGGAGGAGCTCTTCTACTCAGTGTTAACTATTTTGCTCTACGTTATCAAGACTAAGATGGCTTCTAGCGCTACTGTCCTGTACTGCTGCAAATACGTGCACACGACTTTTTCTTGTATTCGCACGAGCAAATATAGGTTACAGCGTTGCAGCACCGCGGAATGCATGCTAGTCTCGACAATGTGGCACACAAAAGAGTAGTAAACAGCCCTCCCCCCAAAAAAAAGTTGTTGGTTTGGATTAGCGACTTTTGACTGTGGCTTGCATTTCCACAATCAATATACCGATCGTCATATCGCTATTGAAGATTACTGCATGAGATTTTTTTTTAAACTGATTTTTGCAATTTATAAAAAAAACTATAGGTTTAATTCATTTGTTCCATGTGGTATTTGGCAGCTCAAAAGCATATTCCGTGCATGTTTGAACCCACAAAACCCCTTAAGGATATGAACATTATGCTCATATTACGAATATTACACTCCCACCAACCAAAGTCACAAGCAGACTATGAATTGACGAGCAAATGAGTAAACAATAAAAGTAAAAAATCAGGTAAGCTGGTGGATGACTTTCATACTTTAACCAAACACGAGGCAAAAATAGCGGACCTACACACACAACCTCAACCCATACCATGAGTGAGACGGTGCGTGTGTACTGTGCTTTATTTTTGCTTGTCTTTGGTTGAAGTGTGGCAGAATACAATGTACTGCAGGTATGCTTGTATCCAAAACACAGCATACTGTTTCTACCCATCCAATTTACAATTTTGAACCTTTAAAGGCACATACAGAAGAAAGGGCAGAAAGGAAGACAAAGAAGTTAACCTGGGGTATTTTGTCCCGGTTTGCTACTTTGTTTTGGGGGAGAGGGGTGTGAGGAATAAAAGAGAAAAGAAAGAACAGAAAGTTAAAAAAAAAGAAATTAAGAACTACAAAGTTTGAACACTAACACTGCGCTATTCACTAACAATGAAGGTCATCTTCTATAAGCAGAAGTCCAGGCGTGTTGTTTTTAGGAATCTAACTAGTGCTTTTGTGGCCTTGGCTTCTTTGTGTGGATTGTCCCAAGCACCAAGCACTGTAGTCACGGAGAAGGGTCGGTTGTCTAGGCATGCTAGCGTGTTTTTGAGTTGTGTCCTTTCTGCGTCGTAGATGACACATTCACATAAGATGTGATGAATTGTTTCAATGGAGTCACAACTTGGGCACTTAGGTGTTGTGACCTGTCCAATCCGATGAAGGAACTTGTGTGTGTACGCTACACCGAGTCTCATTCTATGTATCACTGCCTCTGTCCGCCGTGGCATATCACTTGGAGTGTGGAATGAAAGATCCGGATCCAAAGCGTAGAGAGGTCCATACTGATGATAGGTCGCAGTATGCCACAATCTTCTTGTTTCGGTGAAGGCGTAGTGATTAATGAGAGACCGTTTGTCGTTTTGACAGTACGGCACCATGACGTTGGGGGTTAAGAAATGGGCTGATTTCGCACCAGCATCAGCTGCCTCGTTCCCAGGTATGTGACAGTGACTTGGGATCCATTGGAATTTAATAGTGTGTCCTAGGTCGAAGCATCTTTTAAGATTCAGTAAAACGTCAATAAGGATTTGATCGTTTTCATTATGTCTCATAAATGTGGATATCACTTGTAGTGCCGGTTTACAGTCCGAAAATATTGTCCAGTGTTCGGGCGGCTTCGGGAAGATCATTTCAAGTGCTTCATTAATTGCCACTAATTCAGAGGCCGTAGATGACGTCATGTGGCTAAGCTTGAATGTCTTCGTTGTTAAGTGACTTGGGATAACCACACATGCTGTCGAGCTATTCGAACTTACTGACCCATCGGTGTAAACATGAGTTGTTGACGCATGATCACAAAGTATATTCGATAATACAAGTTGCATAATTACGGAGATTGGGGTGTTTGCTTTCTTCCTGATTCCCTTAATGTCCACTGTGACATCAGGCACGGGAAGCCTCCATGGGGGCACTATTGAAATCTTTGCCGGTGCAAGATCATTTGGAAAGTGGGCTCTTATTTGGAACAGAGCTTTAGAGTAGCTTGAGTGTTGACGTTGAAGGCCAATATTAGAGAGAGGGTGATTAGTATGTTTCGTAATGTGCCTTAAGTGGACTCTAACTGTTTCCAGTAGAAGCAAAACTTCCACCGGTGTAGCGTGAGCTTCTGCAATTGTGCCAGCGGTCGAGGTACAAGCCGGAAGTCCAAGACATGCACGAAGAGCGCGCGCTTGTACGCTTTTGATTGTGTTGACATTTGTTTGACATAGGCCATGTATTGCGGGCAGGCTGTATCGCAGCAAGCCTACAAAAAGAGCTCGATATAGACGGAGTAGAGCCGGTACTGTCGCGCCCCACGTAGTGCCACTAATAAAACGACAGAGATCAACAAAGCCTGTGAGCTTCTTTTTTAAATAAGCGACATGCGTCGTCCATGTCAATCCCCTGTCAATGTATACTCCAAGGAACATATGTCTAGTTACGTATGGAATTGTCTGGTTACAGATACGTAGGGGATATGAATCCATGTTACGCCTTGTAAAAGCGATGGCGGCTGATTTGGCGGCAGAGATTTCAAGGCCACGAAGGTAAAGATATTTTTGAAGTCTTCCCAATGCAACCTGTATTCTTGCTTTTGCTTGCACCCGAGTAGAACCAGAGGCCCATATACATATGTCATCTGCATATAATGACGCGTTAACGTTGGATGGCAGCACTTGGTCCAGTCGAATGAGTGTAAGGTTAAATAGTACAGGGCTCAAAACGCCTCCTTGAGGAACCCCTCGGTAGACGTAGTGATCGGCTGTATCACCCTCTTGCGTCGTCATAAAAATTGAGCGTCCTGTGAGGTAACTCTTTATCCATGCATAGAGACGCCCCCCTACACCAACCTCTGAAAGTGCTTGGAGGACAGCCTTATGTGTGACACGATCGAACGCTCCCTTTACGTCGAGGAATGCCGCAACTGTGACTTTGCGCTTTGCTCTTTCTTCTTCTACGTAAGTAACAAGGTCGATAACAGAGTCTATTGAGCTCCGACCTCTACGGAAACCATGCATTATTTTCGGATACGTATTTCTTTGCTCAAGATACCATTCTAAGCGCCTATTGATCATTTTAGAGCGCAGCTCTTAGGGGCCCGTTCCCGGCTTGAGCGGCGTCGCCGTCGGCGTTGGCGTCGCCGTCGCCGTCGGCGTTGGCGTCGCCGTCGCCGTCGGCGTCGGCGTAACCAAGGTCATCCCAAGGTCACGTGACCCCCAAGGTCACGTGACCCCTCCCAAGGTCATCTCAAGGTCACGTGACCCCCTGAAGGTCACGTGACCCCTCGAGGTCACGTGACCCCTTCCAAGGTCATCTCAAGGTCACGTGACCCCAAGATGACCCCACGTGACCCTTTGAAGGTCACGTGACCCCCAAGTCACGTGACCCCTCTGAGGTCACGTGACCCCCGAGGTCACGTGGTCGCCTCCCCAAGGTCACGTGACCCCCGAGGTCACGTGGTCGCCTCCCCAAGGTCACGTGACCCCCGAGGTCACGTGACCCCCAAGGTCACGTGACCCCTTCCAAGGTCATCTCAAGGTCACGTGACCCCCAGGTCACGTGACCCCTCTGAGGTCACGTGACCCCCCGAGGTCACGTGACCCCTCCAGGTCACGTGACCCCAAGGTCACGTGGGGGTCACCTTCGGGGTCACGTGGCCTTGAGGTCACCCCCAGGTCACGCCTCCCCGAGGTCACGTGACCCCCTCCCCGAAGTCACGTGACACCCCCCCCCCGGAGCATATTAAAGAATGAGGGGAGGAGGAGGAGAAGGGGGAGGGGTCTACCCTCCCCTCAGTACCCTTCACTCCTTCTCCTCAAGAGCTGCGCTCCAATTCGGCGTTACAGGGA